GAGCCCCGAGAACCCGCCGTCCCCAGAGCGGGGACGACACGGTGCCCCAGGAGCCCCGAGAACCCGCCGTCCCCAGAGCGGGGACGACACGGTGCTCCAGGAGCCCCGAGAACCCGCCGTCCCCAGCCTCCTCGGGAGCTTTCTCATTCTTTCCCTTCAGTTGTTTCCTCTGGGCCAAAACCTGGCGCTATTTTTGGAATTAGGGAATTTGAAAATAAAAATAAACCAACCTTTTGAACTATAAGGTGTGGGGGGGGCATATTTTTTAAACAATGATGGCAGAACACAAAACACGTGATACAATTGGTTGGACAGCACTGACCCGCCCTGCCCTGCCTGGTATTGGAGATGGACAGCTGCCTGGAGTCCCAGGTAGAAGGGCTTCCTGGTACCTGTAAAGACTGTCACCTCTGTGTTCGCAACACCAACCTAGAGGACCAGCTGTGGTCAGGACTAAGCTTGTGGAGCCCAATTCCTGTACATCGACATCCTGTCTCCCGATCTGCTCTAAGGAGAGCATGTGGCACGACACGTCCTCTCTGAGGCCTGGCTGGAGGCCAGGAGCAGCAAAGTGTGGTTGCTCTGAAGGCCAGAGAGAAGCCAGGCGGCCCCTCAGAATCCCGACGATGTGAGGGAAAACGAACGTCTTCAGGCCCTGAAGCAAGGGCCCTGGGGTGGTCCAGAAACCATCCTCCAAAGAGCAGCTCAGATCCAGGGCTGGCATCGTCCTTCCCATGGGCGGTCACTCTCAGCGTAGGTAATAATCAATGGCAGCAGAGAATGCAGCGAAACCTCCACAACCGATGGCCCCAGCTTTTAAGCCAGCTGTCAAACAAACAGAAATCACATCACCTGCCTGACAGCTGCTGCGGCGCGATGCACTCACGTCAGGTTCACACACCCTCAGGTGTGAAGCAGCTTAGGCACTGTAAGTCATTCAAGCGATCGCAGCGCTGTGAGACATCAGCGCAGCAGTGGGCAGATCTAACGCCGCGTGCTCATCTGACTGCATTTGTGTGGCTTGTCTCCTTCAAGGACTATTTCTAGTCTTAGGGAAATAGCCCCTCACAGGCAGGAAACTGCTTAAGAGAAGCAGCCCTTGGACTCAAATGAAAGCATATGGCCTTTGACCCTGATTTGTTTACAGAATACATTCCTGGGAAGGTGATCAAAGCAGTCCTGGAGACAGCGGAGCTTCTCAAAGAGGCCCTGGCGAAGCTGAGCAAAGGAGGCAATGAAGTTCCTCCACCAATCACAAACGGTGTCAGAGCAACAAAACCAGGTTTTCACGACAGCAAATCATCCTGTCTCCCAGAAGACGAGAAAACCGGCTTTTTGCTCCAAGTCGGGGCATGACAGATGGAAACTGGTCCAGTGATAAAGCACTGATGCTTCCAGGAGTCAGGCCCCAAGGCCCTCCACACTCGGATGGACACGCTGACAGGGAAACGGCAAGCAAACTGGTTTTCTCCTTTTTTTTTTTAAGATGGGGTTTCACCATGATGGCCAAGCTGGTCTTGAACTCCTGACCTCAGGTGATCCACCCACCTCGGCCTCCCAAAGTGCTGGGATGACAGGCGTGAGCCACCGTGCCCGGCTGTTTTCTCTTTTTTTACAGCTGATAATCTAGCATTTCCAGAATATCTGCGCTTAGCATTCAACGGGTAGAAATCGGAATCCCCAAGGACAGAAAGATATTACTGTTATATCATTTATATCCAAAATTAAAACGGACAACTGTATAGAATTATTGAGAAAAATGTCGGCCAGGTGCAGTAGCTCATGCCTGTCATCCCAGCACTTTGGGAGGCCAAGGCGGGTGGATCACCTGAGGTCAGGAGTTCGAGACCAGCCTGGCCAACATGGTAAAACCTCGTCTCTACTAAAAGTACAAAAATTAGCCAGGTGTGGTGGTAGGAGCCTGTAATCCCAGCTAGGCAAGAGTTGCTAAGGCAGGAGAATCACTTGAACCCAGGAGGCTGAGGTTGCAGTGAGCCGAGATCGCGCCATTGCACTCCAGCCTGGGCAACAAGAGTGACACAAAAAAAAAAAAAAAAAAAAAGTCTAAATTCTTGAAATGCTTAGAGTAAAAAGCTCGGCATGGTCAGCTGCGTGGGGTGGCCTGGGCTGAATGGACACAGCCCAGCTTCTGTGTCCCGCACCGACAGAGTGCAAGGATCACTCACCGCGAGGAGGTTTTCCTGTATGTTCAGCATGGGCAGTTCTGTGTTCTTAGATCTGGATCGGTGACTCACCTGGGGTCACTTGCCCCTCAGGAGACTTTCAGGGACATCAAGAGTTGTTACAACTGGACAGGCGCAGTGGCTCATACCTGTAATCCCAGCACTTTGGGAGGCCAAGGCAGGCAGATCACCTGAGGTTGGGAGTTCAAGACCAGCCTGGCCAACATGACAAAACCTCATCTCTACTAAAAATACAAAAAAATAGCTGGATGTGGTGGCGGGCACCTGTAATCCCAGCTATGCGGGAGATGAGGCAGGGGAATCACTTAAACCCAGGAGGCAGAGGTTGTAGTGGCCAACATCTGCCACTGTACTCCAGCTCAGGTGACAGAGTCAGACTTGGCCTCCAAAAAAAAGAAAAAGTAGTTGTGACAGGGTTCCCTGCATCTTGTGGGTGGAGGCCAGGGATTGTGCTAAACACCTCAGAATGCCCAAAACAGACCCAGGCCCGGCAAGGGTTCATCTGGTCCAAATGTCGACAGTGCCAGGGATCAGAAACCTCATCTAGATCCCAGCCAGTTTCCGAAGCTGAGTTCACACAGAAACGACCGTGATGTGTTGGTCAGGGGGAGGAAGATCAAGTGTCCCTGGACAACTCCTATGTTTGGAAACGGCAGCCTCAGCACGTTCTCCAAGGCCACAAAGCAAAAGCATCCACGTGCCATTTACCAACCTCTGAAACCAATGGCTCCTCCGGTGATGCAGCCACTGAAGACGCTATTCTTCCAATCCGACTTTCCCCGGTACTGTGGGCAGAGAAGGACACTTTAGAGCCGGAGAAACACACAAGTCCATTCAGGGAAAATACACAGGGCTTCTAGTTTGCTCATTGAGTCCCTGCCCAGAGGAAACCCCATCTTTCCCAAAAGCACAGTTCTAACAGTGCAGGACACACGTGTATACAGTATGTGCTCACAGGCGCTTCCTGCAGGTGGCGCCACAGTGCCGAAACCAAGTCCAGCACTTGAAACGGAATCAAAATTTCTAAAGGGGCTCTCCAACAGCCTCGTGTTTTAAATCATTAGCTAACTTCTAGCCTGCAAAAAGTAAAAAATAATGCAAGCCCATACTGTAAACACACCAAAAGTTTGCAACAGGGACTATTTTCTGGAACTTAAACCTAGAGTGTATCTGAGGCTCCGAGATGCTTTCTATAACAACTTGCAAATGACTTTTAAAGAGCAATTTCTCTTTAAAATGGCGGCCCCACCAGGGATTTCTCAGAAGGCAGAGACACTTACAGATTCCACCAAACACTCAGTACAGGAAAACATGGCTCCCACGATGGCAAAATTCTTGGCATACGACATTCCTCTCTGCCCCATGTCCTTCAGAACTTCTTTTGCAGTCGGTGTGCGGTAAGGATCCTTAGGGTCAAAGCCCACATTGGTATCGATGCCGGCAGTAAACACCCCAAATGCACCTCCTAAGACAAATCCTAGAGGCAAGCACAGAGGCGAAGGTTTCTGGATTACGGCGCTGGGATCGTACTGGAAGGGACGCCCCCTTCTTGCCACTCGAACTCCACCTGCCTGGTGGAGAGCTGGACACAATCCAGGGTCTATTACTGTGACATCATCTTCTGCCTCTAGGGTTTCTCGCTCCTTTAACCCTCTCTGCTCACTACACTCTCTCACATGTAAACCAGCCACTCTCAAGTTCACCTATCAGCTTTGCAATCCCTCTCTTGACCATAGTGACATCCATGGCAACGCTTCACTGAGCAGCACATGCCGGATACTACACTCGGGCACGTTATAGTCACAGCTTCACTTATTCTTCACAGTCATCCAGCGAGACAGATGCTATCAGCCTCTCCTTTCCATAGATAAACCAAGGCTCAGAGAGGTTAAGCCACTTCTACCAAGGCCACACAGCTAGTCAGCAACAACTCTCACACTGCTGTCCACATCTCACTTTCCCATAGGGATGCCCCTCATGACTTCATGGTCAGTGTGAGATTAATAAGATCATGGGCACCTCCCTCCAGACTTTGCTGCCTGTGGCCCCTTCTTTCCCATGCCATGCCATCTCCCGGCGTTCGGAGCACCTCTGCCTCTGCTTTGCTTCCTCCTGTAACCACTCAGTCGTGAAACACAGCAGAATCTTTCCTGCCAGTTCTTCAAGTCCAGTCCATCCCTGTCTCTGCCCACAACTGTCATCCCAGTCTGGGCCTCCACCGCTTCAACCATGAGCACGATGAAGACTCCATTTGTCCTTTCAACAACTCTATCAGTGACTTCTTAGGGTCAGGCGGAGTAAGGAACAAAGACCCAGTCCACGCCCTCATGAAGCTTCAGTCTAGTGAACTTCCTCTCTGGCCTTCTCAGCCACAGATTTTTCTTTCCTTCAACACACTCTATCCTAATTGATAATGTTCATTACCACTTATTACTCTTCATGAAAAATATCAACTACTGCCCTATGCCTATAAGCAAAGAGCCCAAATCCCCCACTCAACCCCAAACTTGAAATAACAGTTCTCTGCTCCTTTGCCTAAGTGTATTTTCCTTTTCTCTTTTTTTCTTTAAAAACGGGGTTTCACCATGTTGGTCAGGCTGGTCTTAAACTCCCAGCCTCAAGTGATCTGCCCGCCTTGGCCTCCAAAGTGCTTGGATTACAGGCATGAGCCACCACGCCCAGACTCTATTTTTTATTTGAAACAGAATCTTGCTCTGTCGCCCAGGCTGGAGTTCAGTGGCACGGTCTTGGCTCACCGCAACCTCTGCCTCCTGGTTCAAGTGATTCTCCTGCTTCAGCCTCCCAAGTAGCTGGGACTACAGGCATGTGCCACCATGCTCAGCTAATTTTTGTATTTTTAGTAGAGACGGGGTTTCACCACGTTGTCCAAGATGGTCTTGATCTCCTGACCTTGTGATCCACCCGCCTCAGCCTCCCCAAGTGCTGGGATTACAGGTGTGAGCCACGCACCTGACCCTTTTTTTTTGAGACAGGGACTTGCTCTGTCACCTAGGCTACAGTGCAGTAGCTCGATCACAGCTCACTGCAGCCTCCACCTTCTGGGCTCCAGTGATCCTCCAACCTCAGCCTCTTGAATAGCTGGGCCCACAGGTGCACACCAGCTAATTTATATAATTTTTGTAGAGCTGGGGTTTTGCCATATTGGCCAGGCTGGTCTTGAACTCCTGGGCTCAAGCGACCTACCGCCTCAGGCTCCCAAAGTGCTGGGATACCCCGCCTACCTGTATTTTCTCAATCCTTGAAGATGCAGCTCCAGTTGCACCTCTTCTATGGTCTTCCTCAACCAAAAAAAGACGTTTCTTGTTCCTACCTCACTTGTTTTCACTGGCACTCTCCCTATATTCATTTCTTAAATGTCTTTCATTCTCAGTGAGACAAACTCGTCTGCAAATGTGGTCAACCTCGTTACCCTGCCCACAGAAGGAACACTGTACGTTCTCAAATCTCCGAAAAGCTTAAGGGAGAAACCGAAAGCCAGGGCAGGCTTCTCTCTCCTTGCCCGCTGCTGCCGCGTCACACAGGCCTCTCAGCTTTTCAAACCTCAGGTAATCGCTGCCCTGGGGACGTCTGCACGTGCAGCTCCTTAGTCTCCATCACTCTTCTGCAGCGTTCCCGCGCAATGTTCTCCACACAGGGCAACACCGGCCCCATGAGGACCAGGCTCTCGTCTCTTTCACCCTGTAATCCCACCGCCTGCCATGTGATAGTTGCTTAGGAACAATCTGTCGAATGAATTAAGAGAATGAGCGAATCTAAGGGAATTAACGGGTGAACGAAGTCACCCACGTAGTAACTTTTAGGCCCAAACACAGCACCGATTCTCGGATCCACTCTCCGTAAGGGAAGCTGACCCGAGGGGACAGGAGGGGTGACGCGCGAGTTCACGGAATGAGGCGGGGGTCCGGCCAAGATCAAGGCCCGCAGTCCCTCGCCTCCCAGGCGCGTGGTCTTCTCGGCGGAGGTCCCCGCTGCCGTCCAAGCGCGCTGCCGTCCAAGCCCTCCGCCTCCCCGGGGTCCCACTAGCCCGGCCTCACCTCCCACGCAGGCCAGCGCAGCCTTGAAAGCGCAGCTTTCCATCACCTTCTCCATCATCTTCTGCTCCTCGCTCTTGGCTGGACTTGGGATCCCGCCCAGGCTCCCAGGCTCCAGGAGCCGCGGCTGGCGCTTGTCACCCACCAGATACTGCAGGAGAAGGCTGTACTGCAGCGGGGCTTCGGCGGAACCCGCTGCCTCCGGCGCCGAGCCCCCGGCATTGGGGGAGGCGGTCGCCATGACAGTCGCTACCCAAGCAACCCTCGCGTCGTTCTCCCCGCAGCAGATTCGACAAGCGTCACGTGGCGGGTCCTGAGACCACCACCGTACTGCAACGGCAGATTCGCCGCAGCAAAAAGCCGCGGCCGCAAGCACCGTCCTGCGCACCCCAGCGAAAGCGCTATCATGTTTCCAAAAACAAAAAGCCTCTTGTGAAAGCAGCTTTCTCTATGTCACAGACAAACGAGATGAAGACCCACCAGAAAGCGCCCTCAGGTTCGGGGCTGCAGCGCGGTACGTACCGGGATTTGTATTTGCAATCCGGCAGCGCGGTGCCTACCGGGATATGTAGTTCCAATCCGACATCAACTACATTTCCCCGGAAGCGTTGCGCGAACTCTCGCGCCTTGGTCCCGGCCAGAGCTCTTGCGAGCTCCTGAGGTGAGTGAGGAGCAGCCGCGAGCTCCGAGGCCGCCATGCTCCGGATCGCCGGCAGGGGGCACGCGAGCATTCTCGCTGCCCTTTCCGCCTAACGCTGTCATTGTACGGCGAGGCGCGGTGGCTCACGCCTGTCATCCCAGCACTTTGGGAGGCCGAGGCGGGTGGATCACCTGAGGTCGGGAGTTCGAGACCACCCTGACCAATATGGTGAAACCCCCGTCTCTACTAAAAATACAAAAAAAAAAAAAATGAGCTGGGCATGGTGGCGCCCACCTGTAATCCCAGGTACTCGGGAAGCTGAGGCAAGAGAATGGCTTAAACCCAGGAGGCAGAGGTTGCAGTGCGCCATTGCACTCCAGCCTGGGTAACAACAGCAAAACTCCGTCTAAAAAACAAAAAAAGATCCCAGCTTACAGCATTCGCTGACTTGTGTGGTGCAAGAATTCCCATCATGGCTGATTTCAAACTACCGAGTAAGGTCATCAGCCATAGAATTGGGAAGAGATTAACCAGCTCTTGGTTAGATAGTGTTTTTGCCACCATAAACAATCTATGTAAATAAAGTCAACAGCACCGTGTAGTAAAATTTTGAGGTGATAAGTTTTGAGCATATATTACCTATTTTTAATATAATTTAATAATAAATGTATAGAATGTAATTTTTAATAACTGTGCTTAACAACCAGCCCAAAAATTCCTGATAATTTATTGCCTTACTTTTAAAAATTCTTCTTTTTTTTTTGAGATGGAGTCTCACTCTGTCGCTCAGGCTGGAGTGCAGTGGTGCCATCTCAGCTCACTGCAACCTCTGCCTCTCAGGTTCAAGCAATTCTCCTGCCTCAGCCTCCCCAGTAGCTGGGAGTACAAGGGCACCCCACCATGCTCAGCTAATCTTTTTTTGTGTTTTTAGTAGAGATGGGGTTTTACCACGTGGGCCAGGATGGCCTCAAACTCCCGACCTCAAGTGATCCGCCTGCCTCAGCCTCCCAAGGTGCTGGGATTACAGGCGTGAGCCACCACGCCTGGCGAGTTAGGGTCTTTTTGTTACTGTTGTTAAACATTTACCATTATACCATTCACTGCAGGCATATTTTGGGAACCAGGAACACTCCCTCCTCTTTGAGGAAACCAGAATTAGGGGCTGGTAGGGTGCAGAAGTGGGGAACAGATTTCGGGTGTATCCAGGAAAATCCTAGGGGATGTTGGGGAGGGGTTTTCGGTCCCATGAATGCTAACGTTTTGGCATCATGTGCACTCCTTGTATGAATAAAATGTGGCCTGGGAACCTCTGGGGCGTTTAAGCACGTTTTTTGCTGGTGGCCTGAAGGCAGTGCCATAGCAACATCTGCCTGCCTGGGCCAGGGACTCTCAGAAGATGTTGATCAAAAAAGATTCCTCTGCTGGGCGTGGTGGCTCACACCTGTAATCGCAGCCCTTCAGGAGGCTGAGGCGGGAAAATTGCTTGAGTCCAGGAGGTTGATGCAGTGAGTCATGACCATGCTGCTGAACTCCAGCATGAGCAACAGAACGAGACCCTGTCTAAAAAAAAAAAAAAAAAAAGAGTCCTCTAAGTCAACAGTGGTCATTTTATTCAGAAGGCTGCGCAAACCGCTTCAAAAGGACTGGGGGGCATTCCATAGCCCAAAGCCTCACAGATATGTATGAGCTGTAAGAGGATATGATGCGTCCTTATTTATTTGTTTATTTTTTTGAGGTGGAGTCTCACTCTTGTTGCCCAGGCTGGGGTGCAATGGCTCAATCTCGGCTCACCACAACCTCCGCCTCCTGGGTTCAAACGATTCTCTTGCCTCACTCAGCCTCCCGAGTAGCTGGGATTACAGGTGCCCACCACCACACCTGACTAACTTTTGTATTTTTAGTAGAGACGGGGTTTCACCATGTTGGTCAGGCTGGTCTCCAACTCCTGACCTCAGGTGATCCACCAGCCTGGGCCTCCCAAAGTGCTGGGATTACAGATGTGAGCCACTGCTCCTGGCCGAAGCGTCCTTCTTTTAAGGGTCTCTGGGCCCCAGAGAAGAAATGGGTGGGAGCCCTCCTCGAAGCCATACTTTTGGGACACTTTGTTCTGGGATCAGGATGGAATACCCAGCCAACATGGAATACCCAGTCAGGTCTTATATGAGGGCGGAGGCTCCCAGCTTTCTCTCTGAAGTGACTTTCCCCACAAGAGGACATTGCTTGTCTGGCCTGGTGTGACGGGTGGGATAAGGCCTGACATGGCTGGCTGCAGAAGTGGGTGTGGGGCCTCCAGCCATGAGAGTCATGGGGACCCACAGGCAGCAGGCGAGGAAGAGCACCCCAGGCTCTGGGCAGGGTCCCCTCCCTCCCATCTCCACAGTGAAGGTCACTTAGCAGCACTGTCTGTTTATCATCATAGAGAGAGGATTGAGACTGTCTCAAAAAAGGAAATTGTTAATACGCCATTAACGTACAAATAAAATCTTTTATAGGCAACTCCCAATTATACCGGATAAGTATTTTATTTACATCCATTTTGATTCAGATTTCATGGAATCAATTATTTCCTAAATGAAGTGGACTGAGAAAACTTTCCTCATCTTTTATCATCAAATGTTCATTTTATACTAACAGCTTTGTTATAATGGAATTCGATTTTCCGTGTGTGAGGGATTTTTCTCTTTCATTCAGAACTGCCTGCTGTATTTTAAATATTTTGTTCTGCACTTATAGTAGCTTATTCTTTGAATAAGTTCTTATTCAAAAATTCAAAAACTATTTTTTGGAGTAAAATACTATCTTCCATATTTTTCTCACATCTATTTCGAGTCTTCCAGTTTCCTTCCCCAAGCAACCTGTTACTATTTCTCAAATGTCTTTCCAGATCTATTTCATACATATATATATAAGCATTATATTTGATGTGTGTGTGTGTGTGTGTGTGTGTGTATGTGTGTGTGTGTGTGTTTCAGCATGTAAAAGAATTACAAATGGGGCCGGGTGCTCATGCCTGTAATCCCTGAAGTTCAGAGGGCCAAGCTGGGAGGATGAGTTGAAGCCAAGAGCTCAAGACCAGCCTAGGCAGCATAGTGAGACCCCCGTACCAAAAAAAAAAAATTAGCCGGGCATGGTGGAGTGCACCTGTAGTTCCATCTACCTAGGAGGCTGCTATGGGAGGGTCACTGGAGCCTGGGAGTTGGAGGCTTCAGTGAGCTGTGACCACATCACTAAACCACAGCCTGGGCAGCAGAGCAAGACCCTATTTTTTTTTTTCTTTTTTTTTGAAACACAGTCTCGCTCTGTCCCCCAGGCTGGAGTGCAGTGCTGCCATCTCGGCTCACTGCAACCTCCGCCTTCCGGGTTCAAGTGATTCTCCTGCCTGAGTCTTCTGAGTAGCTGGGATTACAGGTGCCCATGACCATGCATGGCTAATTTTTATATTTTTTAGTAGAGACGGGGTTTCACCATGTTGGCTGGGCTGTGTTGAACTCCTGACTTCAAACGATCTACCCATCTCAGACTCCCAATGTGGTGGGATTACAGGCATGAGACACCATGGCTGGCCAAAACCTGTTTCTGTAAATAAAAAAAAAAAAATTACAGGCTGGGCACGGTGGCTCACCCCTGTAATCCCAGCACTTTGGGAGGATGAGGTGGGTGGATCATGAGGTCAGGAGTTTGAGATCAGCCTGGCCAACATGAAACCCCGTCTCTATTAAAATACCAAAAATTAGCCGGGTGTAAAAGGCGGGCGCCTGTAATCCCAGCTACTCAGGAGGCTGAGACAGGACAATCGCTTAAACCTGGGAGGTGGAGGTTGCAGTGAGCCGAGATCGCACCACTGCACTCCAGCCTGGGCAAAAAAAAAAAAAAAAAGCAGGTGGTTCTTACTCCCGCGATTCCACGCCGCCACCTTCTCTCTCCCAGCACCTATGCCACAGAGAGTCCCCCTGATCAGCTGACAGAGAAAGGGAACACTCACATCCTGCTTCTTCTGTACCATGTACAGGCACCGTCCAGAACTGGGCAGCTGCTGCCCGACAGCCTCGTTCTTGGACATCCCTGAAGGGCAGCAGTGGAGGTGGACCCTCTCAGCCAGCAGAAGCTGGAGCAGTATTGTGCTTGGAAGGAGAAACGGCTACAGGTGAGAGCAATACAGATTCATGGACTGTAGCCAGTGATCTGGGGGAGAGTCAGGGACTTGGAGGGAATGTGATTGGAAAACTGGTGACAAGGAAACTGAGGGAAGAGGCATGTGGCAGAAAGCACGAAGACACCTGTGTGCTATGTCAATGCTGAGTGACGGAGTGAGAGGATGGCCCGTGCTGTGGATGCCGGTCAGCCTCTTCTCCCCGCCGCTGTTACCGCCCAGTGGGCTCATGAACAAAGTGGCCATGAGGGCAAGGGTGAAGCTTATTCGTGGGCTCACAGGACGGACTTTTACTCATCATCCTGGCTACAGCTGCTCTCAGTGCCCAATCTGCCAGCAGCCGGGACCAGCCCTGAGCCCCGGATATCCCCCATTCCCAGGGGTGATGAGCCAGCCACCCAGTGACAGCTTGACAACATGGGACCACTTTCATCTTGGAAGGGGCGGCATTTTGTCCTCACTGGAGCAGACGCTTGCTCTAGGTCGGGATTTGCCTTCCCTGCGTGCCATGCTCCTGCCAAATCTCCCGTGTCGATGGACTACAGGCTGCCTCACCCGCTGTCAGGGTATACCACACAACATTGCTTCTGACCAAGGAACCCACTTCTCAGCAAAGAAAGCATGGCCGTGAGCCCATGCCCATGGACTCACTGCTAAAAACGTCCTAAAGGGCTGGGCGTGGTGGCTCACGCCTGTAATCCAAGCACTTTGGAGGCCAAGGCAAGCGGATCACCTGAGGTCA